CTTAGATTTGATCGGTAAAATATAAATCCAAATGTAACGGTTAAATTATGATTTATATTGAAAATATCGTACGGTCCCTGCTTTTAAAGCATGGAAATTAGCTTTGCTCCCTATTTTAGCGGACTGGAATATAAAACGCTTTCTACATATTTGAATCACTTAGTTACCAAAGGGAATAAGTTAGCATTTTTTTGATATGAAAACTTTGATGTAGTTCGATTCGTTTAAAGGAGCTCTGTTGAACTGCATCGAATTTTCCACATCAGAAAAATGCTGCCTTTTTCCCTTTGTTAATTAGTCGATTAATTTGTACTAGGTATATTTCAATCAAATATCAAAAATTGTGTCTGAAACAACAAATACTTGCCCAGCGTTGAAAATTACTCAAATAGTTTTGACTGCGAATTAGCAAGCGATTATATCACACACCAACTTGCATTCCAACATGCCAATTTACATGATTAGGCCAAGTTGTCAACTGACCACAATTTGAATATCAGTGTATAAATATATAATAAATTATTACTCCTACTGTGATCATATTTCAAATCAATGACTAATGCCAATTCACTATGCAGCATTTGCTGCCGTTTTACTAAGCAGCATTTGTTGTTGCATAAAATACAGCATTTACAACAGTTGACAAAGAAATTGTCAAATTCACTAAAATTAACAATAAATTATGTTAATTGTCGCATATCAAATTCTCGGGCACAGCATTCATATACAAGCATTTATTATATGTATATAAATTACAATGCCAGTGTGAGTATGTATGGGTGTGCGACATGACTGAGCTATGGGCAGTTAGTATGAAAACACAAAAATGTGTTAGCAACAAATCACTGTCACTGTGTGCAATAATGTTTTAAAAAAAATACAGTTTTGATTGTGGATTTGTAGAAAAAAATTAAAAACAAACAACAAAAGCAGCAAAAGCCGTCAACATTTATGCCAAAATGTGTTAAATAGATTGTAAATTAAGACGACAACAATCGTTTTGGTGTTCGCCGCGCATGCCATGCATTTTTGGACAGCAACAAAAACAAGTTGGAAACTCAACAACAATAATTTGTGAAAAAAATTTATTTAAGTGACTTTAGTTGTAGTTGTAGTAAAAAAAGTGTAATATCGAATGGCATGACAGCAGACACTGCAATCATTGGACGGCATACAAATGCTCCAGTTTTCAACTATGTATGTATGTATGTACTATGTTTATCTGAAATCAGTGAGCAGCGCTGAATTTTTGGGCAAGCCTCTAACTTCACACTAGCGCGCTGCAGCACTCAATTTCTCAAATTTCCACATCAACTTGGCTTCGTTTCAGGCCAATGCCGCTACTCATTTTCTCCTTTATATCAAATTGTTCCAATTTTTTTTTTAGTTTTTTGTAACGCCTGGCAGCCGTGTGACCATGACCGTGATGTTGTAAATCATGTCGGTCGCCGGTTTGGCTGGTGGTATCAGCCACGCTTGCTGACAGTTAACATATTTGTAAGTTGTTGTTGTTGTTGTAATATTGTGCTTGTTATTTGCCTTTCAATTGTTGTTATTTTTTATAAATGTATTTTTGTGATTTGCCTGTTATTTGTAGCTTTAAGTTGTAATTGTTGTGGTTGGTTTCGTATTCAGATGACAACAATTGATTTACAAACCCGGGCACAACTTCCCGGGTGGCAAAAATATTTGAACTAAGCGAAACAGAAATACATTTTTTAATTTTACTCGTTTTTTGATAAAATCAAATATCTCGAAAAAGAGCACAATTAGCGAAATAAATGGAACGGCATCTTAAAACTTTATAAATGGAGAGCTCAGGAAAATGTAACCTTGTTGGAAAAAAACTACCTTTATCAATAAAATTTACTTAAAAATTAGAAGGTATTAATTTTTTATCATAAATTGTGTGCAACGAACTTCTCAAGAAGTTCTAAAACACATTTTTGCTGTTCTTCCTCTCAAGGAATCCATTTCCGTGGCAGCAAGAACCGAAAAAAGGACTTTTTTTAATTCATTGCATGCTGTAAAAACTAAAAATTTTACTTTTGAAGGTATTTTAAATATCTGATTGAATGAACAACTTCCTTGAACTTAGAACAGACCTTAAAAATCGTAATTTTTTATTTGGATTCTATTTTTTTAACTAAAAAATCATGTAATTAGCCTTAAAAAAATCTGAATTTCAGTTCTTGCGGCCACAGAAATTAATTCCTTTATACAAGAATGGGAAACATTTTAAATTTTTATTTATACAGGTCATTTTAAAGGTAAAAAGAATTTTTTAACCAACGAGATTTTTTCAGAATTTTCTATTTAAAAAAGAAAAATAGATTTTGCCACAGAAATAGTTAATTTTCCACACTGTGCGCCAGAAACCTGAGCATAGATCACAATAAATTCAGGGACGAAAACGATCAGGAAACAGTGGAGTACGTTCCTAGCAGATGCACAGCTTTAATGAGAAACTAGAATCCCAAACTAGTAGAAACATTTCATTTCACATCTTTTGCAAAATCGCTGGTTAGTTTTAACATGTTCCTTCGGGTTTAGCGTCTACTTGGAGGTTACACCTTTTGGAGCCATTTAATCTAACTTTGATTCCCAAAGAATAAGTGAAAGCTCTACCCACTGACTAACTGTATTATGTCAAAACCAGGACCGAAACTCCATGCAGTATTTCCGAAAGCGAGGTAAGGTTACATATATTGTACTTAGGCATGGTGACCCTTTGTGTTATAGCTTGCTCTTACAGTTTTATCCGACGGTATATCTAGCAATAGAACCAGTTTATCCAAGGCTGGGCCATGCCAGAGGAAATGCTCGACATTCATGATTTTCTCGTCGTACCAACAACAGCGGCAGTAGTCATTCGTCTGAAATAATATTCTACTGGCGTGTATCGCCAAGTTTCAGGAGAAAAAAGGGCATGCATTTCGCATTATCCAGCCCGGACCAGATATGTCGAGCTGCTCTACAATTAAGCTCTGAGGCACTTCGTCTACTTTATAGTTACCCGATATGTTTTTTTGCGACATGTATATTTTGTTGCCAGTTCATTTGAGTGTCTTTCCGGACGGCTCAAAGTTGTAATGCCGTAAATTTGCTGAGACATCTATTCAAGGACTGAATTTGAGGCTATCTTTCCGCCTGCCACACCACACCATCATTTTCTTGACGGAAAGGGACGTGAAGGGAAATGACTATCTTTTCAGACTGCCAAGCGGCAATTCAAGCACTCTTCTCTTCCTCAATTGGGTTGCAACTAGTAAAATAACAACTATAGGGGAGAATTTGGGTTCAATTTCATATCAATTAAAACCTACTCGAACATGCGCCAGAGGTCAAAGTCAGGAATATATACGAGATCGAGGCGACTAATAAGCCAGCGTGGTGCTACTCTGTACCAAATTGTGTCACTAGGAGAAATAAAAAGCAAAATTTCCGAAATTCGCCACTTGAAAGTTGAATAGAGATGTTGTTACGGATGATGGTAAAGGACAACCAGGCTGTTAGAGAATAAGTATGTATGGTACACATAGAACCAAGGCTTAGGGTTGAATAAAGATAATATCTGCAAATTCACAGCTGTCTACAAAGAACGCTGACCAATTGGTACATATGTATACTTGAATATAAATAGTTGCTTTAACTACAGAATATTAGTTTTTATTTTACTCTTCCAAAGGCTGTTTTTTGCTCTGAGTGTACGTAATTGCACAATTGGTTATTAAGAGGTTAATTGCGTATAGCTGCTGGATTGATTAGCCACACTTACACCTTGTAATCCATGCAATTTAATATTTAAATCGTTTTAAAAGCAGTTACTTTGACAAGTTGACATTGCACAAATGTATATGTAAATTGAAAAACGATCGCTGATATTCATAAGCATTTGCCAGTAAGCGCGACTAAACATATTGGCGCACCTATGTATATTTTATGTACCAACAAACATACGCACGTAAATACAAATATATGTACATTCAATTGCAAATTGAATGCCTGCAATCACAAAGATTATTTGCTTAATTAAATGAACTCATTAAATAAGTGTGGCATATGCACACGATGACAAATGTGTAGTTAATAAATCACGATTAAATGGAATTGGAACAAAAACAAAGTAGAAAAAATATAAAATTAATAAAGAAAAAACCCAATGATAAAAAAATATTTTGCGAAAATTAAACGCATTCATTAAGAACAAATAAAATCGTATATGCATATCACACTTAAATACTCGCTTACATACGTACATACTGCGTATAATGAGCTACTCGTTAAGCTACTATGCAGTGGCACAAACGCCTGCACACACATGTCCGATACATTAGGATGCGCTGCGATAAAAAAAAAAACTATTATTTTCCCAAGTAAATCATACAATTTGGACTTTTTCAAGGCTCCTACCATAATATTACATCTCATTTTTGTGCGCTAAGCGACCCAGGTTGCATTGAGAACATCTGTAAAAAATTTTTTTTTTGCACAAAATCTTTGACTTTAACTTTAAGTAAGCGCCATTTGATTTTAAATGAATATACACTTAAGAGATCTGCGCAAAAAACCGATTAAAAATCTGTCAAAGTGTTCGAAATAATGGCATTCTTGATGCAGTTTTCGGCATCTCTTAAATGTAGTCAACAATATTTAAATCGATTTTAGTGCTCTAGGATACATCAGTTTAGGCCCCGAACGTGAACCGAATGAAACATTTTGTCGGTTCGGTTAAGCGCTACGAACCGTTTTTGCAATTTTGCTTTGGTTCGTTAAAACGGTTTTTTTTTCCTTGCTCCGGGGTGTAGGTTCTGTTCGGCGGTTCGGGAATTTAAAAAAAACTATGTATATTTGTGTTGTTTTTATACACTAACAGTGTACGGCAATATACTAAAAAATTGTCAGTTAGTAAACAAACATTGTATTACCATATTTAAGAAAAGAAAAAATAAAAAGGTGGAGAATTATTTTATTTAAAAAAGTAGTCGAAACTAAGAAGCTTGGAGTTCATGTCGCCACGAACCGAGCACTGCATCCCGACGGTGCGAGCGAGTGGATACATCACTCATATCTCATTCAAGGGCCACTGAAAAGGACCAAGGAAAAGTTATCGGATGTGTATTCAGCGAAGTAATCTCCATCTAATCCATAATTTAGGCTTTCGGATCTCAGTATTGTTTTCCAGCAGAGGTAGCCGCTAGAAAGAAAGCAGCGAACTGGATGCTTCCAAATATTATACCATTTATGGATATTAAGATATATTTTGATGGCCATTTGGCAATAAGGGCCGATATAACACCATGATACGTTTGATGATTGAATCATATGAAATACTATCAAGGTTAGTTGGATTCCAGGCGACAACAATGTATATGTAGTGGCGGATTTGAATATTTGTCACCCCTAGGCAAGCAAAATATTTTGAGGTAAAAGTACCAGTTTTGGAACCATTAGCAGTAAATAGAAATGTTCAAATTTGTGTTATTTACTATACTTTTATTACAATTTAAGATGAAAAAGTTGTATTTCCCTTGAGTAAAGGTTTTCAATTTTTAAAGAAAGCCATCATCAACAAAGTTTTCTCACTTGATAAGTTATAATCTCAAAAACACTAAATTTGTGTTTTTAAACATTATCATTTAAATAATATCAAAAATACCCAACAGTGTTGTCCTTTTTTCTCATTGCATAATTGAATCTCAAATTTATGTCTTCAAATGTACAAACACAAATTCTACTGCAGCTAAGGGCCGCCTCTAAATTTTGCCGCCCTAAGCACCTGCCTATGTTGCCTTTACGGTAAATCCGCCACTGTGTATATGTATATCGCAAGGTAACTGCATGAAAGAAAAACCCTTTGAGAAGCAAATTTTGAGGTTTCCACTGTCTGCATGCTTACTTCTGAACAGGTTAGCTCAGCAAACGCTGACCTTGGACTTCAACGTGAGGGGTCCCTCCTTAAACGACGGCTGTCAAGGACGCTGTTCAAATTTAACAATTAACGTCTGTGTTACTGATGAGATTTCTTGCCGTCATTGTCCGATCGGAATTTATGCGGTAAGGCTCAACAGCCACTCAAGCTCAAAGTATGGAGGGTGGAATCACCTCAATATCTGCTACTCAGCTGCTCAGGTTTTGCGAGATTAAGTTTCTCATTCCCGAATATAGATTAGCCGCTTATGGATTTTTATTGCTCAAACGGGTCGTTTTTCCACCGTAAGTCCTTAGAAGTCAAGGCGTTTCCACGACAACCGAATTACGTTGTTCGCTCTCCCAGTTACGAACGGCGAATTCCCCTGTTTACACGATCCATTCGTAATTCGCTTGGCATCTATGTTTCTTGTTCTTTGTTTTGTTTATTGTTCAATTGTTTTAATAAATCTAACGTTTTTTTCGATATTTGTGATGATGGGAATGTGTGTGGTCTATGTGTTTTGACAAATGGTTTCGTTAAATTTCTCATGATAATTGAATCTGAATTACCCACAAATTGCGAATGGAAGAGCGAATCACTTGTCGTGGAAACATCATTTTACCATTCCCTGATATTCTCGGACAGCTAATTTGCTAGTGTAAACGTATGTGCACTACTTATAACTTGAAAAATGTTTTATGATAGAATTTTTTTTTCTAAAAAAAACTTTATGAATGACGCTGATTAAGCCGAAATATTTTGGTGGAAGATAAACAATTTATATAATTTTTATAACTCGCTTGGGTATTTAGAAAATATTTTACATTGTATGGAACGTGGCGCAGCCTAATCCAAGTACATACATACATGCATATGTAAAAAAAGCAAAATGTTTGCAATCTGAAAGAGCAGCGAATTGCTGACTAATAGCAAAATTCAAATTTAAAGTATAAAATTTAAAGCTTAAAAGCTTTAAATTTAGAGCGCCTACATTTTATTTAGCCTCCCACATGCATGCTTTCGTGTTGTGTGTGTGCATGCTGATTAATCAAGTTTATAAATTATTGAAGTCATATTTATGAAATCGATTTTTTCGCTCCAATTCAATTAATTTTTTTTTTAATTACTCTCGACGGTTAATACTTTGCGCTCTCCGTACTTAATCAATTATGTATGCATGCATTGTACTATGTATGTACTATATGAGCATGAGTGTGTTCTGTTGTTGTTGTTGATTTTGTTGCCTTTGCGTTTTCTTATGAGCTTTGCATTATTTATTTATAGTTTGCATAAATATGGCTTAATGTTTTGTTTATATATTCCTTTTTTTGTTATTATTGTTTTTTGTTTGTTTATGTGTGTGTGTGTTGGTTGTTTTTCTTTTTCTACGTACTCTTGTATTTATAGCATAATACCGAAGAATGTCAAAAATTTGAGTAAACTGTACAATTTATACAAGAAACGATATCTATCCAAATGTATGAAATTAAAATCCGCTCTGACATATTCCGTTTCCGGTTCGATTCAACTGCATTTACGCGCTCGCCGCTGGAAGCGTTTCATGCGCAACGACCATTCGTCCTTCCATTCGAGCACCACCGAACTGGGGCCGATGGCTAGATAGCCGGGTGCGGCTTCCGCATCACGTCCAAGTATGAGATATGATCTAGAAGAGGAAGTGACGAAATTAAGCAAAAAGAGTGAGTGAAAGTGAGCTTTAAAAATAGATAAAATTAATTGAATCATCTGCAAAAGAAACGGTTTTTTTATTAACAATCAGGCTTCGGAAGCATTTATAAAGTCTTCTTTATTTTTTATGAATTTGGGTGTATGTCTACTGCTTTCAGTGATAACTCTAAGGGAGAATTGTTGATTATTTTTTGGGCTAATTAAACTTACAGTAAGTATAGAAATACTGACCTAACGATTATTCTTACTTCAAATGCGTGATGCATTAGAAATCCCTACAAAATTTGGGATACGCATTGTAGATTGAGGAGCTTTCTGGAATGTAGAGAACCCATACACGAAACCTAATGGGGAGCTTTGGTATACAGATTAATCTATACTTGAAAATAGTAATGTAATGGAATGGAATGGAATTGTGGGTGGCCGGAAAAAACCAAAAACAAATTTTTCCAAGCACTCAAGCAGTATTGCCCATTCTACTTGAAGCCAAGAAACAGGATTTAGAGGAAAAGGATATGTAGGTGAGAGTCGGAATTCATTACTCCTCTACAAACTTACCAGGCTCCTTTATGGATTTTACCCATTTGTTGAGGGAAAAAGAATGTACGTCGTCCATTCTCAGTACATCCGACCTAAAAATGTACCATCTGAGTCTGGAGAAGGCCGGAAAGCGGCAGAGAAAATGTTCTGTACTATCCTCGTCCTCCGAAGTTCGGCAATTCATCAGCCAGTTCGTAACCTTTAACACCCTAAATAGTGTCCTGGCACCCACACAAGTTCAAGCTCATTCCATCTTGTAACGGAGTTCAGCCTCAACTTACATTCCTGGACTAACTTTGAAGAGGTTCGAGCGGTTGCCAAGGCCTTTAGAGCAGCTTGGCTGTCACTGCAGATCCTGATTTTATGTCCGCGCCACTTTTCGCCAGTTATCCAGTCTGCCACTTTCAGTATTGCAAAGACTTCCGATTGAAAGACCGTTGTTATTGCACCCAAAGCGGTAAAGCATCTGAAGTCTCAGTCCAGATGCCATCCAACTCCAGTCTTTGAGCCGTCAGTATAGAAAGTTTTCATCGAGCTTCCCAAAAATGGTCTGGATCTCTCCATTGTTCCCTTGTAGGGAATCTAACGACGTCCTTTCTACCAAAGGAGACTCTAGGTATCAGTTTGTCATTTGGTGCCAAAAACAAAGGATATTGCTCTGACAACCTTCCGAACAACTCTCTGTGCCCAGAGCTCCGATCGTGGTGCCCCAGACCAAAAGAGTGCAGTCGACTCATCGTGAAAATGGTAAAACTGCGGCTGACATATTTGTGCGGAACTCTAAATAATCTATACCAATGGGTAGCTATCCCACCACATTTAAAGCGGAGATTAATTCAATAGAAACTTGCGGCAGAGAATGCTTTAGAAGAGCCACATACTCAAAATAGGTATATCTGAATTATGTCGGACAGTCAATTAGGCCTTTTGGTACCGAAGTCCCGCAAAATCAATTTTCAGCAAGTACTTATATGACCGCTTCAATGTCCCAAATGCTATTGGAACCAAGAATATAGTAGTAATGTAGGTAATGGTAAAAGGTATTTCATGGCCAGGAATCCTATTGTGACCAAAGCACACGCATATAGGGGATAAAAAATATGCAACTACGTAGAAAGAGGCACTTCATGTCCAGTGCGGAGACAAGCCCAATCTTCCCTTTAAAATAAGCTTCAAAGAAACTTCTTAATTTAGGCAGAGAAGAGCTCCAAACTCCCATTGGTTGCTATACGGGGCACTGCTCAGTTCGCTGTCACCTCAGTAAAATTAATCTTTCAGAAACAAACGTCTGTCGCATTTATGATCTGGACGAAGAAATGTCAGAATAGAGTATTTGTGAATGTGACGCTGCTGCTAGGCGCAGACTGTCTCCGTTAGGTGGCGCTTCACTTAATTCATCCGAAATTTTAAAAGCCTTCTTATACAGGCCCACGCACAATCAATCACTTTAGAGGTCGCGGTGCACATGGCGGGGGATATTGTCCGGAAGATTTTTTATGCTGAAAATGATGTATATTTTTTCACCGTTGGGGAGTATTTTTAGGATGATTTTGTCCAGGAAGTTATTGGTGGGAAATTTTTGTCGGGTGATTTTAGGCCGGAGGATTAAGTCCTTGAGCCATTCATTTACTACGAACTACTTCTCCTCCACATCAATTTGGAAAATATTTTTAAAAGTGGTTGCCACAAGTTAAAAGGTCTATTGAAATCAAATCAGTTATTTTAGTGAAATATGCGATATGAATATATTGCTATATATGGACACATGTTTACATACGTACATATGTACATTTATGTATATACATATATGTATGTGTAAAAGCGCCAATCAATCTAACTAAAATAAATTTCCTACTTACTTGTTCAACTTTATTTTGGGACACTGGCATTCGAGACTCTTACGCGGCACTAGCCACATCATATGCCCTCTGCCCAGCAGCGAACTCGTCGTACCCTGCAAAGGGTTCCGCTTGAAAATCGTTTGTATATTTATTTCGTATTTGAAAATTTCATTTTGTCGTTCAATCGAAAATTTCTCCGTATTGATATCCTGTGAGGCGCGGTCATGCCCAATGACTTTTGCCAAAAGGGCTGCAATGACGAAAAAGAAGAGAGAAAAAAGAAGAAAAAGAGAAGAAAAAAAAATAAATTAAAATAGAAGCGTCAGCATAAATACAATTAAAATTGTAATAGCCCGCGGGCATGAATGCGTGCATGCATGAAATTCATTAGAAAATTACAAAAACAATAGCAAATATCGATATATGTATGCATATGTATGTATGTATGGCTATCATGCGCTCAGGTTACTCATACGTACCGTAATCCTCCATGCAGAATTTATTCAAATTGAGTTTTTTCGGGCTGGCCTTACATTTGCCACAATCTGTTGAATATTAAATAAAAGTTAATTAAATTTCAAACTCCAATGCACTGTGTCGGACAGTTCAATGAACACAAACACAAACACACACACACGCACACACTCAAATTAAACGAAATTAACTAGTTTGTCGCGTTGGGGCATTTGGTAAATTTCATTAAAGTGAAATGCACTCTAAGCACTAAATTTGCAATGAAAATTTGATTACGAGTGTAAATTACATTTCGGCGCAATTATGCTTTTGTGAATGTGTGTGTGTATGGGTGTTGCGTATCTTTGGTGCGGTCGAAAATAACACACAAAAAGGAGGCAAACCTCAAAGTGACACAAAAAAGGGTGGAAGTGGCCGTTATGTGGTAGTTATTGTAATGAAATGAAAACGCAGCAACTGCAAAAATGTCGCTCGAAAACTTTATTCGTATTTTGACCATTTTCATTTCTCCCTCTGCCGCTTACAGTGCAGTTATTCGGCAGCTCTGCGGTTATTGCTTGCTGACCGACCTTTTAATCAACACTCCATTTCATCCCCTTTTTTCACTGCCACTTACAATTATTTTAATGTAATTTTGCAAATTAGTTATTTCTTTTTTCTTCACACTCACATTTTTTCATTTCATCATCGGCTCCGCCTGATTCGCGATACTCGCTAACTGCACTCTCCGCTTGTATCATATTCGCTTTGGTCGGTAATTCTATTGCGGGAAAATTTATTTCATGTCATAATTGAAATTTAATAATTTTTCCTTACTCATTATTGTTGTTTTTTTTTTACTTACTTATACAGGGCGCCACATGGGATCTGGTCTGTTGATAGCCGCGCGCACATCGGTTACAAGTCAGTCCAGTTACGCCCTCTTTGCATGGGCATTGTCCGCTTAGATGATTGCAGGTTTTGCCTGTGGAGCCTACAGGGTGACAATCGCAGCCTGGAGAATGGAGAAAGGAAAAGATTTTTTTTTGTGAGTTGAGTTTTCTCTAACGCCAGGATTTTTTTCTACTTCTTCAGGAAAGGCAATGTTCTGAATTTTAATTTCGACCATATTTCTCGAATTCAATTCGATTGGTTTTAATGATTTTGATAAATCAAATGTATTTGCGAATTAAATCCTTTACTACTGTGGAAGTTCATTGAAGTAATTTCGCAAGATTGCCAAAATATAGATCAGAAATAAAAACCTATGTTGCTTAGATTAAATAATCACTTAAGAAGTTCTGCAGATCACTTTTGTATAGCGGCCATAAACAAAATTCTTCTTCCCCTTATTCAACAAGTGAAACTAATTTAAAATCAATTAAGCTCTTATTTTTACACTTTTATGCACTTTTGTTGCTCACACTCCCTTCATCTCTTCGTTTCCACCACAACTTTAGATGGAGATTAACGTACTACTGACGAGCGAGTAGATTATTGTGGGCCAACAATATCAGCCAGCAAACAAAAGCGAAAGCGAAAATTAAAATGAAAAGAGGCCAAATCGATGCACAAAAGGTAATCGAATACAAAGTGCAAAGAACGAGAACTCAATTTCAGATTACAATAAGTACAAAAAAGGCCGCAGAGATAACAAGGGAATAGGAGCGGCGCACAGTGTTCCATTTTGGAAAAAAGTGGGCAAAATCAAATATCTCGCGAAGCAGAAGAGATAGTGAAAAACTTTAATGTTATTTTAAAGCTTTTGAGATGGAGAAACTAGTAAAAATAATCTCGTTGGATTAAATAATTGCCTTGACCTTTAAAAGGACCTCCAAACACATATAAGGTTTTAATTTTTTTTTTACCTGAAACCAGTATGCAATGAACATTTTACAATTTTCAAAAACTGAGTTTTACTTTTATTGTGTCAAGGAGTACCTTCCTAATTGAATAAAAAATTATCATCACCTAAAACCGATCTTCGAAAGTAATTTTTTTTTAATTTTTTTTTTGTTTTCGACCTAAAAAAAATTAAACGGCGTTTTTTAGTCTTGCGACCATTGAAACATTTGTACACACATATTCTAAAAAGTTCACTGCATACTGGTTTTTATTTCAAAAACAAGGATAAAACTTTAATAGCTTATATATAAGACAGTAATTTTAAGGATCAGGTTAATTTTTATAATTAACGGTACTTTTTTCCCGAATTTTCCATTCCAAAATCTTTAAAATACCGTTACATTTATTCTCTATATCATCCCGTTCCCGATATATTTGAGTTTGTCCTTTTTTCCAACATAGAACACTGTACAGTGGCACGCTTAAGCATCTAAGTCCAAAAAGAGCTATGGATGTTAAATAAAGCTACAGAGAAACAAACAGAATAAAAAAAAAATTATTTAAAACTGGAATAAAATTGTATGCAATATCGTTGTTTTTTTTTTGGGGAAAATTTTTGTTATAAACTTCTTCTGTGTTTACCAGTATTCCAGAATTTAAAGTGATACAATTTTAGCTGCCAGTTTCACCAGAAAATTAAGTTAAAGGTTATTTTTTTCGCATCTGTCAGTTTTCATATTAACTTCAATTAAAAATATAATAATTTTTCATTTGAATTGCTTTAGTGCAACTGGCTATAAAAAAGTAATCAAATCTTACTCTTTAGATTACTAAATTGTACTTTTCGCCATTTATTAATGAGTATTCAAAACTCTGTTGTGTGAATAATCCATTGTGGATGGAATAACTAAGTGAATATATTATTTAAATATTATGAGCAAATAGGGAGATATTTATGAAGTAACCAGTCATGACTAGCAAAACATTATTGCAACTATTTGACCCCTAATTAAATTAATATAGTAGTCAAAAAGTATTGCATTACTTAACTCTTCTGAGCAGGCACTGTATTTGGGCACTGAAAAATATTAGTATTTGGTGCACACACATTTTCCTAAGTATTTGGGCGAGCTTTTCATTAAATTTTTGGTGAGTGCCTTTGATTTTTTAACATAAATGGACAACACTTTAATATTTTTGACAAAAATATTTGCCTCGGAAAATTGTGCAGATTCAGCAGCCTAATTTCTTTAAAATTGTTTTTATCACTAAAGAGATATCTCTTAAAGATATATCTATTAAAGCTACAAAACCTTAATATTAATTATTTAAAATTCATAGCAGCAGTAGGGAGGAATAGATTTGTATGGGATTTCGTTAGCGTATTAATATATGTGACCTGGTCTACGGAAAGGGGCTTAGGTGTCAAAAAAATCAATTTTCACTTTTTGGTTGATTCGGACGGAAGATGAGATGATTTTCACTTTTAACAGCTTTTTCACAGAAAACTTTTTTCGCACGTAAGCTCCCTTTTCGTAGACCAGGTCACATATAGATTCCTGCGGTACGACCGAGCCAACTGACTCGTTGTATTTTATTCCGCTGAATTATGCCTATAACGTTGTAACGTAAATATTCAGAAAATGTTTTACAAGCTACAGTATATGATGAAGTTTAAGCGGTAACTTCATTTCACTTTCACGGATTTAAGGAACTGCTCAAAACCATCAATTATATTCTCTCAGCTTAAGTAATGGCAAAGAAATGAGCGTTAAAGTAAAGGACTACCGGAAAGGAGTACCGGATACTATCCGTGATACCCTAATTTTGTTTATGTATAAATCATTTGTAGGGGCCGGCAAAGTTTTGATCTAAACTCAACTGCGTTTTGGGGTAGCCAAACAGTTTAGGAAATCGCAATTTTTCAAATTTCACGGCTTTGAACTTACAATTCCGTAAAATATGCCCGATGCTTTGGAGTACTTATGTTTTTAAGACAGCAAAGACATTAGTATATAGCAGGGTTCAACAATATAATCCGCCATATTTTATATCTAATATGAATGTCGTGCCTAAATGAAGGAAGAGTAAGCATACAATACCAATTTTCCTCGAAACCGTAGCACGTTTACTACTCTCGGTCACAGTTTTTGGAAGTTGAGTCATGGCTGTGTGAACGAGCCCTAATAAAGCACGAAGAAACACAACAGTCACGACGTGCGTGTTCAAATTCAATTGAACTTACGAGTACCAATACCATTTCCCGCGACTTTGTACTTTTCTAAATACTCAGCATTATAAAACAAATTTTAGACAAGGTGCATTTGTTCTGTCTAACGTTCGTGTTGTTGTCGCTGCTGTTGTTTAGGGATTATTGAATGAAATTCCACTTGAAGCTATGTACATACCTTAATCGCTGTCATTCCACCACTTCAACTCGTCAGCCCGGTAAACTGCGAGAATGCGCACTCGAAAGGGAGTTATGAAATAAAGCATTGAATTGGTTTTGAACTCGTATCTACCAACTATTTCCATTGGCATTTTTGCTGTGTTGGTTGTTGTTGCCAACTCGGTTCCCACAAAAAAAAATACCGATGTCTGATGGATTACTCAGTTTGAAATTGAAAAGCAAAAGAAATCCACCATTGCTTTCAACAACTTTATACCACAAATAGTTGCCGTGCCCCCCTTCCCAATACCACACTTCTTCTCGCACAAATCTCTTCAATTATATATGTAGTTGTAAATGTGCTCTATATGTGTAGTTGTAAATGTGCTCATATGTTGCTGTTGTTGTTTTGGAATTGCTTGCAACGATAATGTTTTCAATGATGACAACATCTAATTCTAAATCCGTTGCTGATGTGTGGGATTTTGGTGTAGCTGATGAGTTCGTGACGAATCGATGGAAGAAAAACTTTTCAACAAATATGTTCCCTACCTATGTATGAACGTTTGTGCATAAAAAGTATTTGGGAATGTAGCTAGCTACCGTTAGAAGTCGATGGGTGGTTGTTTTCGAGGAATGTCACACAAAAGTTGCTATTTGTTCAACACATGCGATTATCTTAGATTTCTAGTCCTGATTAGCTCATTGTTCGAAAATTAACTCAACACCTTTGACAAGTTTGCGTTGAAGAAACTTTATCGTAGAACAACTGCAAAACTGACTACGGACATGAACGTAAAAATACTTAGGAATGAGAATACGCTAATACCAACTCGTGCAGACTTCTGTTAAACTTGGAACTATTTCAATGGTGAGTTGGCATTCTTTTGCTTCAATCGAAATAGCCGTACAAATCGAAAGACGTACAAATTCACAATTGTATCCCCTTTAGCGGCAGTTTATAACGTTAAATGAATACCCCTAATGCTTTTACTAGAAAAAGTCCTTTTTTGGTTCGGAAACTACACAGTTCTGCGAATACATTTTTTTTTAAGAAAGGCAGATAAATTTTAAAGGCTAATAATGAATACTTGTACCTTTTTATACCTTTCATGAGTATGAAATGGTATTATAACTTTGGTCCGATGTTTGTAAGTACCAGAATAAAAAGAGATATACCCATTAAAATGTATACTTATATGATCAGAACGTCGAGCTGAGTCGATTTAGCCATATCCGTCTGTCTGTCTATCCGTCTGTTTGTATGCAATCTAGTCTCTCAGTTTTCGAGATATCCGGATAAAATTTGGTAGGTGGGTGTATTTTTATAATGTATTAATCATTTGTTGGAATCGGAAGAATCGGACCACTATAACATATAGCTCCCATACAACTGATTGTTCAGATATGAGATTTTTCGTTATAACTTCTCCATTTATGTAGCTAGGAACATGAAATTTTGCAGTACTTGCACCCATTATCAACAGAATACTTACAGTGAAAATTACAAAGATCGGGTCACTATAATCTATAGCTCCCATACAACTGATTGTTCAGATATAAAATTTTTCGCTATAACTCCTCTATTTATATAGCTAGGAACATAAAATTCCGCACTGTTTTCAATAATTATCAACAGAAAACTTACAGTGAAAATTAAAAAGATGGGGTAACTATAACCTATAGCTCCCATACAACTGATTGTTCAGATATGAGATTTTTCGTTATAACTCCTCCATTTATGTAGCTAGGACCATGAAATTTTGAGCTGTGTCCACTCATTATCAACAGAAGACTTACAGTGAAAATAACAAAGATCGGGTAACTATAACCTGCAGCCCCCATACAACTGATTGTTCAGATATGAGGTCTTTTATCATAACTCCCCCATTTATGCAGCTAGGAACATGAAATTTCGCACCATTTTCACTCATTATTAACTGAATACTTACAGTGAAAATAACAAGGATCGGGTGACTATAACATATATGTATCTTCCATACATCTGATTGTTCAGATATGGGATTTTACTGTAAAACCCTTTATTTGAACAAAATCGAAAAATTTGAAAATCGTCAAAATCTATGCTGTATAAGCTTTATCTCCTATACCACTGATTGTTCAGATACCAGTTTTTGCGATATATCTCCTTTATGTAGGAAACTAAACCCAATAAATTGTGTTACCGGCTTACATACCAATCACATAGCAGTGAAAATCACTTAGATTGGTGCTAATAAAAGGTATATCTTCCATACCTCTGATTGTTTAGATGCGATTTTTTATATAAGTATGTAACTCCTCTATCGATGTATGCAGATGTATTCAAAAGCAGTAATCTGTCAAACTAAAATTTGCAGATGTTCATGAAAGCTATGAAGCCTTCGGCATAGCCGAAGACAGCGCTGCTCTTACTTGTTTAAATTTGTTATTGTTTGCAGTTAGATGCGAATCTTTAAATATTTCTTGTTGCTGTGGTCGAATGGTTTAAGGTGAGCACTACCAGTCCGTAGGCAGGCAATGTCAAACTTCCCAGTGTATTTCTGGCACGAAAAAAAAGCCTCATATTTAAACCATTTGCCGTTCGGTGGCGGCGTAAAACTTAGGTCTTAACCAATATGTAAGTGTCAAATATTTATTTTAATTTTTTCAGATACATCTTCAGGATGGTTTCGGGTGCAGAGTTTCACGCATGTGGAGAAAATTTTTCAACGTCATTCACCAGGTAGTGGCCACAAACGCATCGTTTCATCCGGTTAAAGTACCACACGACTTCCGGCGTTTGCGCCAAGTGTCCTCTACGTATTCACCGCGTAAAAAAGACACCAATGAGTATTCCAAAATTGCCTTAGATAAGACCTCTTTCTTTAGATAACCACCAGAGTCAGTTGGCATAGAAGAGAAACTACTGGCTTTTTTAGGACTAGCCTAAATACTATTAGGCGGCGTTAGGCCCAAACAAAAGGAAGACGATATAGTCGTTTTAAAATTGAGTAATCTAAATTTCAAACTGTCTCTTATTGGCAGTTGATTTTAAAGAAAATTTTCGATGGCCGAAAAACCTTCAGAGGAAAATGTTTTATAATATTTGGATTTTCTGAGATTCTAATATCCTTAGGTCTCTCCGACAGTTTGTGCTTAGCCTTAATCACTCCACTGTAATGTTGGATAAAAAAAAATTAATTAATTACCTTGTTTGACATACGAAAATTAAAAAATAGCTTTTTTTATTTGTTTGATAGTTGCAGGATAACTAATTCGCTATGCTAAATAGAAGTGTTTGCAGCTCATATACCTAAATTTGTAAATATCTATTCAATATAAGTTTTGAACTAATTATAATATTACCTAAAGTTTGTTGCATATATGTACATACATACATATCTTTTTAACCGACTTCAAAGAAGGAGGAGGTTATCAGTTCGTCGGAATTTTTTTTTTAATCTTATTTTTTTTTATGTATGTTACCGCATAACTTTGGACCACGTTGACTGATTTCGATGATAATTTTTTCATCGGAAAGTTGGTACCTCCAGGGTTGTTTAGATCCGATAATTGGATCGTGCAGAAATTTACGATAATCCTAAATTTTTTTATGAGAATTGAAGTCGGTTTTGTTTTTTGCTTAAAAATTACTTGTTTTCTACCCAAATTAAAAAAAAAAATTATTATAAATTTTTTCTTCAAATGACTTACGTTTGCAGATCTTGCGATGATTGGCCGGTTTGGTTGCATCCCTGTAGTAGCCCTCGCGACAGTAGTGACAATAACGGCCGGTGGTGTCGTGTTGACAGTTGTAGCAGACTCCTCCCGAAACACGGCCAGACAGCTTGTAAAGTTCCAAATTAAAACGGCAACGACGCGCATGTCCATTGCATTGACACACTGGAAGATAAAGCGAAACCGAATACATATGGATTAATGCTTAATTCGTATAGTTACATATGTACATAAGTTAAGATTTCTGACTTGTATGAAAACTTAGATAGTTGCAAGTACAAGGTGGAACTTGGGTATTAACGATTTTACTTTTATTGATGTAATTAGAAAGGGCCATATCTTATATTCAGTAAAATAATATACATAATTACATACCAAGCCCTATTCGCCAAAAATACGTAAGCGACATTTCAATCAAAATTTTCTTTCTGCATCAAAAATATGATTTTGAAAAAAATGTCGCTTACCTCTTTTTGGCGGTCAGAGCTCGATTTATGTGAATAAATAGTAGATAGGTCATCATTGAACACAACACCTCATTTTTTTTACTACACTTCCGGCATTTACGCATAGAGCGCAATTGTTTCAGGCACTCAACTTAATGCAGCTTTATACCTTTTGTCGGTAATGAAAGGTGGTGAGCATGAAATGTGTGCAATTCAATTTGCAACCACAATGCGCCAACAAAGGCAAGAAACATGAACCTACAGATCGAATTGTGGTAGTCAAGGGAGACATATATAACTGTACATATATAACTATACTATTTATGCTAGTAAATTGCGATAAAAAAAAAGCATTTTAGTATGTGCAAGCATAACTGAAGTACATGTTTGTATGTATTATCTTCCCAAAAGTTTCAGTACTTCAAAATTATTAAGCTAGCGTTGCAGGGTACTGGTTTTATAAATATAAAGGGAAAACTTGGAACTCTTCCCCTACCAGGCTACGCCCATGTTTACGCTCGTATAGACTACTTTCGTATTTATTATTGAACCTGTGCTACATAATTTGTGTACCAAGGGCAGGTTATGCCCTTTACATATGAACATACCGGACCATCTACGGCTTTTTTTCAATTCATTCAAACGGTCTTTCACGTCGCTATGCCCAAAACCGACTAAAAAACTCTTGAAGTAGAAAATGTGTGTGAAGTAGTGTCCTTTCAAGTAGGCGCATAATAATAAAAACGAAAAACAAGTGAACCTGAATGTTTTTGTGATTCGATTTTCAAATCGACAATCTCCTATACACACTCAATGAAACTAAAACGAATTGCCAATGTATGAAAAGTGCAAATAAAAGTAAAACAGAAAATAACATGTCACAGTAGATTTGAAAAGCGCGTAAAAAATTGTGATCTGTATCGTACAATGTTTGTGAGTGAGCATTAAAAGTGTGCGTCTAAGCGTTTATTTTGCCCAAAAGGTTTGTGTGCCTGTGTATTTGGATGTGACGGCTCTCGTTTTGATGGCATTTTCATGTTTTTCCAACGCTTCAATTCTGTTCGTGAATGGATTTAAAAGCTATTAAACAAAAATAGAAGCAAAAAAGCTAACATACTCTCATGACAAGTTGCGGATTTTTAAAATGTCCGCACTGCAACACAAGGTTGGATTTATTTACTTAAATATTTTAAATATACGGTGCTTACTGCACGAGCTTAAAGTGACCAAAATAGAAATCAAAATTGAATCAAACAATATAAAGTGTTTTCCAATGACAGTGGGTAGATGTTAGATTAGATAGTTATAAATAGAGTAAGCTCTGCGACCAGTAGGTCTGTTGTGCCCTCAGCTCATCACAATACTGAATCTAGCCCTAAAGACGCTATTAATTTTTTGGTCATAGATGCCTTACGCAGCTCTCCTCCGTGAAAATTTCGCACACTCTAGGAGAAGATGTATTGCTGTCTCTTTGGCGGAGTTACAAAAGTGACATAGATCACTCGACCAGATCCCTAGCTTACGCAAGTGGCCTCTTAACCTACAATGGCCTATTAGAATACTTGTTATAATTCTTAGCCTCTCCGGGTGGCTGCTCATGCTCAACGAATGGATATCACTATCGTGGACAAGTGGTGGAAACCAGGGAATCCTTAGAGCATCTTCTATGCCGATGCCCCGCACTGTCAAATATATGACTAAAATGCCTATAAATTCGAGCAGTTAGTAGACATCTGCCTACTTTAACGCCTAAAATCGAACTCCAATTGGCAAGGACCTACCGGTCTATTTGTGACTCAACACCGGTTACATTAATCTAACTTAACCTAACTTATGCCAACGATAACACTTATCTTCGTTGACCTTTGAAGAGGTTACAAATTCCTGGTCGAAAACTGGCAGGTAATCAAGGTTGCGTATTGCAGCAGGTTTGAACGGCAAATGTCTTTGAAAAAGCGGCAACTATTTTAAGTGAATACCAAAGCACCGTCCAGACCAGTCGCTTAAAAATGGATGAGACACTCTTGTCAAGAAATTCTCTGCATTTGTGCAATAACATCAAATTTTTTTTGAAAAATTTGTGAAAATCTTTACTTTCTTAATAAAAAGAAAGCAGCTAAAGACTTTTTATTCGGGTCTTGCCGAAAATTCTTAAGCCCAAACTACAATAACGCAGTGTCAGTTTTTTGAAATCAGGAACTCTGCTGTGCAATGAAGCGACACACAATGCAGCAGTAACAGCTCGCAGTACTGCTCAACTTAGCCCAAATTCTAAATAGACTGCCACTGCCTTCATTGCAGCAAACTTCGCGTGTTGAATTTTACACACTTTAAACGCAATCAGCTTTTGTTTATGTCATTGAATTGAGCTTTAAAGTTAAGTCAACCCAGGCAGACGTAAAATGTATACCAGGCGTGGTAAGCCGCATTTAGCTGAAAGGTGGTAACTTTTAATCAAACGGTTGAATCTATCTCTAGAAAAAGTATTATGGTTACTATGAAGTTTTCCTCCAATTTTTGTTTTTTATTTGATCATAAATTTTTTTTTATAAAGTTATTAATTTTTTTTTTAATATTACTGACATCTCAATGTCTTTAAAATCGCATTTTAGGCTAATATTGTTGTACGTTCTATGAACAATTATTTGCAGAAAAAAAATTTGCCGGAAAGCATCGAGTGGAAAGTTATTCACGCATTTCTCTTGATATTGAAAACTTTTATTTTTGCTCCAGCTCCGCTCCAGCTAAAATCCTTTGCTCCTTGCTCCTTTGCTCCACTCCGCTCCGAAGCCCTGAATATTAATAATTCGCTAACCTTCTGAATAAGTAATGCTTCTGATGTAAATTAACAATGCATAACTGAGAAGATGGTTATTAAAAATACTGATTGTTAAACTATAAGGACATGCCAGCGGAGTTGTACCGAAGAAACCTTTAGCAATCGTGCAATATTTTTTTCTTATTAAACAATTAACTTTACGTTCCCCAGTTGAACAAGAGAATATTTCCTTATACTTAAGTAAAATACTTATCTTAAACCATTCAGCAATTTCCCAAAATAAAAACATTTCAAATACCAAGCAGTGATAGAGGAAAATTGCACTGATTTTGTGAAATCAACGCTTGTCCTTTGTTGAGTCAGCAACCAGTGCGATAGATAAGTATTTAACTTAAAAAAAGTACTATAAAAATAAATAAATGCTGCTCGCTTGTACACAAACAGACACACAACTTCGTAAAACTAACATTTAAAATCGGTAGGGATTTGCAATGAGATCAAGTAAAATAACAAACATACGCTTAAAAGAATCCCTGCATCAGCTACAATCCGTGGCAGCAATCAATGAAAGGGAACAAACGTAGAAGAAAGCGAAGAAAACTATTCCAATGCCAAAGTGCGACTATCTTTCAAACACGTGCAGGCAAAAGTACTCAAGTACAGCGCTTACATACATACATACTTATAAAAAGCCAAACCTACATACATACTAAATACTTGGACACATTAAAATAAGTATTTTTACAATCACTGATCTCGATATTTTCACATTTTCTGATTGGGTGCATTGAAGCAGGGATTTGGCGTAGAAAGTGCTCGTTACAGGCAGCTTGTCAGTATATGTATATATACATAAACATGCGAATGACTATGTGAGATAGCATATCCCGATACGAAGCTTTCATGCACAGTCAATTCCCAGTGGGAATTAGGAGCACGTAATAATACCTTATTAGCAACTTACTCTTCACCTGGAAGTCATTACCGTTTCCCTGCCGATCGTCCCTTACTTTTACAAAGGCATGGCCGCCTTATGTAAGTAGGAATTTAGAATGTACATTTGGTATCAGACATACTTCTGAGCCGCTTTACAAAGTAAGTTACGTGTAATGAAGAGCAGTCGCTCGGAGTAGTTCGGTGCTGGGAAATAACTTCGGCTGCACGTTATTTTACAACTGACAACGTAATGTGTCTTCGGAGGTGTTCATTTTGCCCTTTACTAGTAGATGACATTGGCCATGATGACAATTTTGGTACTAAAAACTGAAAGAAAACATGGCTTACCTCGCAAGGTGCTTACCTATTTTCCCAGTGGGTTACTTTGAAAAACTGTTATGGTTCATTGTTAAATGCTATTCTAGCACAATAAGAACTAAGTACTTACATTGTTGTGGTCACACTAATTTAAAACAAATTTGGTCGGCGCGCATGCGACCATGCGCCACCCTTTCCGAACACCTCCCACTCAGCTGATATTTGACGTTTGACTTTGCGTTGACAACTATAGTACGAGGAGCGACAAAAAATTTCTTCGGAGCTCTTTCCTTTTTCCCCGACAATAGTTGCTTGAGATGGAAGCAATTCGGGCTCTAACTGTAGTCAAAGCGAAGCTGTAAACAATTCCTTATCGGCACCAGCCGAACTGTCACAACCACGTGTCCAGGTTGTGGCGCAATCATCACGCAGAAGAGGGTGCGCGAAGGAATACAAGTTCCTATTCTAGCAAAATTTTGCCTACAACTGGATGCGTGAACGGTGTGCGCTTCGTCTTCAATTTTTACATCTATAGTAAGGCCTTGGTTCTTTTATGAGCATTCGGTTGTGTTGATTTTTTACCTTTTGCCTTTATTTTAGAATCGAGCACGAAAAGAGAAAGGGGCAATGAAAAGGCGAAATTTTTTTGGTAGAATCGAAAACTCCATTAGTTTTAAGAACAATGT